GCAAAACGTACCAAATTATGTTAGACTTACGTCAACAATCCTTTCTTCTTATTTGCACGGGATAAAAAGGGAAGGAGAAAGGCTGCATGTTGTGCAACGTATTTGTCAATGAAAATGTCAAACAATTTTTGCATGTCACTTTTCAAGTTATGTCAAGTTGAATATCAACCGTACTTTCATTCTTGTCAGACCACGGGCAATGAACAAGGACAAGCAGATGTCCAGCGTGTAAAACGAACACCTCTCACCTGTACTAGTTAGCCAATAGAAAGGCATTGCCTCGTGTTGCGCGCGCATGCCAGGTAAAAATAGATAGGTCTATTACGACCCTGATAAAAATATGAGTGTTTGCCTCAAATCATTGAACTAAACAAACACTCTGGAACGGGCGCACTGCTTTATGCTAGTGTGCCGACTTTTGATATATGCAACCCAGCAAAACAGAGGGATTATTGTCTCGCTCACGCTCATTGCGATTAACGTAAAAGGAAGAAGAGCTCCTCCATCTTCCTAGCCTCAATGATCCAAACACTTCAAACAGCTATTCTCGGTAGCCGCCATAGTGCGGCAGAGAGAGATGCAAATCTTGTTTGTTGTCCTTCCTGACAAACCCTTGCGTTAGAAACATGCAGCAGCCACCGTTCCAGTGTATTTGTTTAGTTCATTGGCCTCAAATAACTCCATCTCTCTCGGACCTCTCTTTCTAATGTTGGCTGCAAACAAACACTGTTTGAGAATATGGCTAGGAGCCTTATTCTGTAAGGAATGAACCGTTCGATTCGGTAGAATTTCTTCGATTGTGACGTCATTTTTGGTTTGGTTTTTGCGCTACCAAACCGAAAATGACGTCACAATCGAAAAAATTCTACCGAATCGAACAACGGTTCATTCCTTACAGAATAATGCCCCAGGGCCGGTCCATTAGTGAAATGTCATTGATATTCAGTGTTGCCAGTTTTCGATTTTGAAATTATGGTACATGAAGGTCATACAGGGGCGAACCCATGGGGGGGGGGCAGGGGGGGCAACGCCCCCCCCCCCCCAATGTTTACTGCAGTTGCTAGAAAAAATGTCCATAGTTGGTTTCCAATCCCCACGCCAATTGACTTGAACACGTTCTAAAGAATGGAGTTTTGCAAAGTTTTAGATACCTTAATAGGTTTTTTAAACGATAATTTATATACTATTCTCAAAAATCTGCGCGGATTTTATTTCCTCTCTCTAGACTAATGTACCTATCTGTCAAATGTCAATTTAGTACTTGATTTTAGTCTATGCTTGATTTATATCAGGTTTGTTCCAACCTGCAATAATATTACTGTAATATTATCGTCCGTAACCGCGCTAATGCGACTGCGCAATCAAAAACAGTAATATTATACTAAATAACTTAAAAACTTGTTGGAACGTTTTTTGAACTAGTAGTACTCACAACACAAGATGAAAATAACAAAATCAACATAACTTGCATACTTGCAGGTGAATCATCTTCCACCACAATAAAGAATTTTTCTAAACCTAATATAAGACAAAAATCAGATTTATTAACTCTGAGAACAAATAAAATAAAATTACTTAACTTCTATAGCAGTCATTTTCAAATAAATAATTTAAATAAACAAAAAACTGAGGTTCTGGGTTATGTATTATTATTTATGTTCGTTGTTGTTCAACCACTGACCCGTTTTCGACCTCACTACGCATGCGTCTAATTTTAGAACCAACAGTTCTTCCTTTCAAGCAAGAATCGTTTGAACCGTAATTTTACTATCCGAAACGCCGATTGGAACGACGAACTGTCAATTATCGCCAATTCTAAATTAGTAATTTTAACTGGTTGGAACAGCATTTCACAATTGATGATATTAGTTAGGTTAGAATCGCAAATTGGCGCGGGTTCCTAGTTCAAAAATTAATACATTGATGTCTTATGGGGACTCAATTTTAAAAGCGTTTGTAGTCGTGATAGAACGTTTGTTACGGAATTGAGTTGTATAAATAGTTTTTCTAATATGTTAATTAACTGAGAGAGTGATTGAGAGTTGAATAAACATTGTTAAAATAAAAATATTACCAATTTAAGAAGCCGATGTTTGTATAAAATACGTATGTCCTTGCTTGATTCATAAGTATATATGAGTACCTAATTATAATAAAATAAAAGTTCACCTACATACTTGGATAGTAAATGTACTTCAATAATCCAAAAAAATTGAAAAATAAATGACTGAACTAGTGATAAATAAATAAATAAACAATTCAATCATAACACAATCACACAACCTCACTTTCTCTCAGCTGGTTTTAGACTCGACGTACGTCCACCGAAAACAGACACTTTTAATTAAAAACAATTAGAGCATGAATTATAGAGAAATATGTTCAAAGTTTGATGTACAATAGGTTCCAATACTAAGAAATGCCCAGAACCCAAGATATTCCCGTCTGAACATCACTCTTTTGAATCCCCCATAAGAAATACATTGCTGTCAAATTTGTTAAAATGTGTTTAGGAACCCATTTTAAATTTCGCGCCCGATTTTTCTTAACCTAACTAATATGGTCAATTGCACATGTGTGGCAGTCAGTAATATTACTGGAAATTACTGCCGGTTGAAACAAACCTATCATATCCTCCAAATTTTAGACCAGATGCATATGCTGTTGCAGCAGAGATTGAAATTTTCTTCGACCTGTGTAATAATAAATATACCACAACTATTGATAATATGCAACAAGTAATGGAAGTAGCATTCAAAAATAAAAATGTACTTAAGAAAGCTTTCAATTATGCCAACTCCTCTTTACTGCAGGATATTCAGTACCAACCAATGAACGAAAATTCATAAAAAATGACTCACGTACAACTTTGGGAGAAGAAAGACTAGGCCGTTTCCACCAACTATTTTAGGGTAGCCTTAACGACAAGTATTCCTTGAAATGATTCCATGGAGAAATGTCAGCTTAAGGAATCGTTGGGGCTCCCCCAAATTAGTTGGTGGAAACGGCCAAGATCACCTAATATCCCTAAAAAGTGGGAAGGACTTGACCGACTCTATGGAATTATCTGAAATTATTCGCGATTGGGCTAAATTAAAAAATAGAAAAATATCTACGTATAGACACGGTACAAAAATAAGTTAGGTAGTAGAGCTTCAATCTGAATGAAATTTGTTACTGCATTTACATATTTACATTCCTAGTAATCTAATTTTTTTTATTTTGAAACGGCTGATAGCAGTAATTTTTGCGATCATTTTGACAAGGTATAAAAGTCACTTCAATGACTTTCAGCTTGAGCGGCGTATAAGTGATATACTCCGCCGGAGTATAACATTTATACGCCGGTACACATGTTTTTCCATAGCGATATAGGGTAGTTCACATGCAAGGATGACACACTACTACTACAGAATAGCCTATCCTCATAAGGAATGTGTGTAATAAATCCCCCCTTCACCCTCAAGCTAAAATACCAATTGTGACGTAGGCATTTATTTTTTATTTCTCGCCTTGACGTAAAACAGCTGACGACTTAGTTATGACGTCGGCAATGGTGGCACACCAATATGGCGATGATGACCAAAAACGAGGCTGATAAGCACTCCATAGGGTGGGTATTATAAAACTGCTCTGACAGTTAACTTTAAGTTAACTTTTTGAATTACATGTAATTCCAGAAGTTAACTCTCAAAGTAGTTTTATAATACCCGCCCTAAAGTTGATGAATTACCCACAAATAAATTACCTACCTCAATTTTTTTTTTGTGGTTTTTTTAAAGTCAGTTGGCTCATTACGACGTAACACCCCCCCCCCATTACCAAAGTCTTCGGAACGCCCCTGAGGTCATAATTGTTATTTCAAAAAAAATTATGGTACAGGTCAAGGTTCCTAAAGTTCATAGGTTTTCTGGTAATGGGTAACTTGATGACGCATCTAGAGTGCCTTACCGAGATTTGCATTATGTTGAGGCATACAGATGACGTCATGAAAGTTATCAGGCAACCTCCTTTTAAAAAACCTTGGATATAGATCATGTCTGGTTCAAGAATTTGGTTAAGTGTCTAGTGAGTCTAGTGACATTAATGAAATGACAAACTGACAAACTGTGACAGTGACAGTACTGGCAGTTCTTTTATTGTGACGTGCTGTCCGCTGACGTGAGTGAGAGTGAGATAGAAAAGAACGTCAATGCCACTGCGGCTCGGCAACCGATCAACCGTCCACGCAACCGGATTTATGACGTCACGCATAACTCTCAAACCTCTAAACAGCAAGAACATGAGAAAATAAAAGAAGGAGTATTATAAAATTAAGAAAAATACAAGGAGGTCAAAATTATGGTAAATTATGTATTATTGCATTCGCAATTTTCCTAAAGTCTGTTTTTTTTTAAAGATAATTCCCCAAGTCAAAAATTTAGTAACTATGTTGGCAATTCTACATAAAAAATTTGAAAGCATTGACAATTTTACATTGTATTGTCAACATAATGTCATTTTGACTTTTATCTTTAAAAAAACAAAAAACACACACTTTATGTATTTTTCTACAAAACTATGGTACAAATACATAATTATGGTACGCCTGGCAACACTGTTGATATTCTCCTTGAGAAAGGAGGACATGCTGCCTACGTCACAACTGGTGATTTGGCGTGGTGGGGGCGGCTTCTGCTTCAGATTTGTTCCACACAGGCTTATGAGGATAGGCTAAGGCAAGGCTATCCTGTAGCAGTAGTATGTAATATCCTTGCACGCTACTATGACAAATAATATGACAATCTGTAGTTGTTCGATTACAGGTTTCTACAATTAGGTTTCTGCTTGAAAGCGTCATCTCACCTCAAGTTGTTGAAGCTCAAATACTTCAGTTCCACTGTCATATGGTTAGTTGTCTTGTTTTTCCTATATAAAATAGAAAAGGAGAGATATACAGCAAATGATTGTATAAAATTAAGCCACCTTGTTCTGATCCAACCCAATAAAAATGCAAATGGCGAAGGCGAAGCAAATTGATGCGTGGTGTGGTGTGGTGTAATGTGGAAGTGTTGTTTACGTATTTAAAAACTGTAAAATAATGTAGCGATTTATCAATAAATATTTATTATGGCTATTCGCAGTATAGCGGAATAGATATTAAACCAAAATATATCGGCTAAATACAAAAAAAACCCATATTTGATGGTATTTATTGTATTTGTTTGGTGTACGTGCAGGTTTTTGTGTCGGTAATGGCTGCCTGAATAGAAAACAAATTCAACAAAAAGGCTTCTGGTAAAGAATTTCTAATTAAATTTAAAGATTTTCATGCTGACAGTGCAAGATTTTCGTGGAAATTGATCCGTTTCTTCGAAAAACATGGGTGAAAACAACCACAGACGCCACAAGTAAGTTTTAAAACAATTTGTTTGTGTTTGCAGGAAATTTCACAATACTTCTTAATTTTTTGTGTAGAATCATGGTTTTCCGGCCCACATGGGACGAATTCAAGGATTTTGGAAACTATGTAAAGTACATGGAATCGATGGGTGCAAATAAAGCTGGCCTAGCTAAGGTAAGAACTCCATAATACAAATTTGTTCTTAGTCTTAGCAGGTTCATTCGAGGGTATCTATATTAAAGTATAAAACAGAAACACATTCAATAAAATACATGTATAAACTCATCATTTTTACATCAGGTATAATAGGCATTTTTAAATAAGTGATACAAAATCCAATAATCTAAAATTGCATAAGCTTTATTCATACATGAATCACCAAATCAATTTTAAAATTTATTGCATTTCCTGGCAAGCACTCGAATTTTAGAGCCAATTTTCACATGGACTTTTTATATTTTTAGAAATAATAAAATTCAAGATAAAATTACACATTATGTTGCATTTTTCTCAAATTTGCAATATGCTAAGTTTCAAAGTACCTACTACTTTACTTGATCATAAAGATTCTCATTTGACAAAAAATGCAATAATTATGAATCCATTAAGGCATTGCATTGAAATTTGTTCAGTTGAGTGCTACACTGTACGAGCAGGGGCATGTTTGTCCTTGGCCAAACCCTTATTATCATAATTCAAGTAGAATTCTTATTAACAATTGCTCAAACTACCGGGTGCCCATAAAATCACTTTCTGGCTGCCCATAAGATTACTTTCCGGCTGCCATTTTTTTAATTTGTTTATCAATATCAACAACAACGAAACCTGGTAGCTTTGATATTCTAACAAAACGCCATTTTTGTGCATCTAAGACAAGTTTTCCTAACTTCCGGTTGGAAATTACCAAAACTTTTGATTTTCAAATGGCACACCCTGTAATTTTTTTTGTTTTTCGGATTCTACAAATCGTTTTACATTTAATGTACCACTTTTAAATCCAGCTTTGTCCAAATTTCGTTTTCAAATTAAATTTCAAGTAGAAAAAAAAAATACCTATATCCTGTTCACAATCCGATGTCCACAGGTGCAGGTAAATTTATCACCTTTTCCTATCAAATAGCATTCAATAGTAGATTATACCACGAGTCAATAATGATAGCTATTATTCCCGAGGATTATTACGAACTGAGCCGCGTTAGCGGCGAGGGAGTAACATTCCGAGGGAATAATAGCCATTATTGCGAGTAGTATACTCTACTTTATTTACGACAAATTAATTTATTTGAGATTTTCAATGAACAAATTTCATCCGTCTCATAATTTTCAATACAAATCCACAAGCACTACACGTTTGACACTGACACTTTTGTGGAATAATGACCATTAATCCCGCTACTCGTTATTAATCCCTGGAGGAATAACATATGTCATTATACTGCAAAAATCACAAATATAATACGCACATTATACATTAGTCGTAAATAAAAGTGATTTTAGCTGTACCTACCTGTGGACCGGATTGTGAATGGATAATACATAATAAAACAAAAATATTTGAAAGAAAATTAAGGAAAATGTTCTAGTGTATTACATTGTTGGATTTGCTTTAAAATACAGCATTTAGTCATGTTATGAAAGTGATATGTTCTAGTTTTTGAGCTAGGGCAAAAATACTAAAATGATGAAGTTAACAGTCCTCTATCATCAAAAAAGTTTACAAGGATAAAATTGAGTTTGTATTTTTCTCAAATTGAGTAAAGTATGTAAAATCTGTTTTTTTTTTTTTAAAGATAAAAGTCAAAATGAAATTTTGTTGGCAATACAATGTAAAATTGTCAATGCTTTGAAATTTTTTATGTAGGAAAGGCTTGTGTTGCCAACATAGTTACTAAATTTTTGACTTGGGAAATTATCTTTAAAAAAAAAAACAGTTTTTAGTCATTTGGGGATGATCATGGCACTCTAGTTAAAAAATTGAAATTTAGTTTATAAACAATATGTATTTGGAAAAAACTGGATTTAAAAGTGGTGTAGAATCTGAAAAACTAAAAATTTACAGGGTGTGCCATTTAAACATCAAAAGTTCCGGTCATTTCGGGTGAAACCGAAAGTCAGGGAAACTTATTTATTTATTTATTTATTGGATTCTTTACAAACACTATAAATGGTAATTACATGTAAAGTTACTACTACAAACAAACTAACAACCTAAGCCTACAAGAAAAAAGAAAACAGAACAAATTCATATCACAGCCTTCAAATTTTTGAGACTAGTATTAAACAAGTCTGTTTGGACTTTAGGCCAAGCAATGAAGGAAGTTTACCTCAACATAATTAGAAGTTAACATTTTTTGGGGGGGATCGGTCCATTTTCATGTGCTTAATAACATATTAAGTTTGCGACCTTGTACTTCCATAGGGTTTTTAGTTAGGGGTGGTTTTTAGGGGTAATTTGCGGTTTATGGAAAACGCTGCTCAAAGGGATGGTCCAATAGCAAAAAGTTTCAAATGATTGTTGTAGCTGAAGTTTTTTGCTATAAAAAACTCAGCGACAGCATCCCTCTATCTTCTATAGTTTTTTTTCTGCAGCGTCTTGAATAGTTGCATGTTTTTATTCAAGGTCACTGAATCAACGTTTTGCCTGTTCCCGCGCATTTGATGCAACAGCGGTCGAATCCATAATCTGATTTCAATTTTTCAAGCACCACATTATTGCTAATGAAATGCACTCTTCAATGCTTTTTTGTTCGAATTTTTTTGCTTGAAAATTAAGCGGGCACGGACTCTCCTAATGTGCGCGGAAGTTGTAAATTGCATCAAAAACTACCCCTTTCTTGCATTCACTGTAATTTCTAAACGGGGCCAAATATTTGGTGACAGTTTTCGACAATCGGCAGCCCATTTATTCCTCTCATAATGCCCCAGCGGATTTTTTTTTCGTTAATTACTCAATGACTTATTGGCCTGAACACGTCGCGCGGAATTTTTCAAAAAGTAAACAAAAATTAAAATTGTCGCACAGCGCTGAAATTTGGTATGATGGCTTTATTTATTGTTCTTATGAATATACTGCAATTCTAATTGTTGCAGCAGTCATGTGAAGCAATTAAAATTGCAGTATATTCATAAGAACAATAAATAAAGCCATCATACCAAATTTCAGCGCTGTACGACAATTTTAATTTTTTTTTACCTTTTGAAAAATTCTGCGTGACGTGTTCAGGCCAATAAGTCATTGAGTAATTAACGAAAAAAAAATCCGCTGGGGCATTATGAGAGGAATAAATGGGCTGCCGATTAATAATAATTGCTTTATTTAGACTTCATCTAATTTAGTACAAAAAATTTGATACTATAAATATTACAATACAAGAGATATAATAATTAGCTACCGTCTTACAATGTGGAGATCATTGGACAATAGGCCCCTTGCATCAAATTTTTTTATTGCTGATTTCGATAGTCCATGAAAAAAAAGTCAACACGTGTTTTTTCTTTGTCTTCTTAGTCAAAAATTGACGGAGATACAACGCTATGAAATATGCCTATGACGTCATCAGGTATAATACTTTATGACGTCGCACATGGTCAGTATATCTATACATACAAAACTTAATATTTGTATAACTTCCGAAATAATCATATTTGGGCGAAATGAAAAAAAAGTAACGATTTTTTTTCGATTTCCTACAGTTTGCAATAAACAATAATCAATTTAATTTTCCATGCAAGTACCCTATTCTGAATTAACAAAATACAGCACAAATTTTTTTTTTTTTCTTTTCATTTGCATCATTCTCCCTTCAAGTATTCTTTAAGTCTCCCCTTAAACAATCCAATGGTTGGCAAGTTCTTTATCTCATTGGGCAATGCATTAAAAATTATTAACCCCTTATGGTATACTGCTTTCTCAGAAAGCGATTTATTCTTTTTTGCAACATAAAAATTGTCTCTATTTCTAGTTGCATAGTTATGAATGTCCCCACTGGTGATCAATTTATTTGTCAAATAGTCAGGTGTAATTCCATTTTTTATTTTATAGATAAAGATCATTGTTTGATACTTGACAAACCCTTCAACAGGTAGCCAATCCAATCCATTCAGCAAGTCAACTATACGTGTGTCCCTTCTTTTCTTCAATATTATACGCATAGCTCTATTTTGCAACTTTTGCAGGCGATTCATTTCATTTTTGTTGGTAGTAAATAGTATTGTTGCACTATACACAAAGTGAGGTAAGATCAGGGTATTATATATTGTTATTTTGGTCCATTTTGATAATGATGAGGACACTCTGGACAGAAAATTTACATTTCTTGATATTTTGTCAATGATGTACAGGATATGTTCTTTAAAGTTAAGAGAATTATCGATGATGAACCCCAAATACTTGATCTTCTGTACCACCTCTACACGTTCAGTACCTATTTCTACCTTCAAATCATACTGATTATATTCATGCTGGATCCTGTTACCTCCAATCATAATGAATTTCGTTTTTCCAACATTTAGCTTAAGCATATTGTCATTGAACCACAACTGAATTTGCTGAAGATCCAGTTTTATTGCATGCATCAGGCTAACTAGATCTTTTGAAAAAAAATAGATCAATGTATCATCCGCAAATAAGTGTATAGAGCAATTTTGAATCACCGAATCAATATCGTTAATATACAACAAGAACAGTAATGGACCAAGAGTACTGCCTTGGGGGACGCCATAATTGTTTGTTTTTGTTGTTGATATATTGTTCCCAATTTTTGTTATTTGTTTTCTGTTATCCAGGTAATCCACAAACCAATCAAGTACGTCATTCAAAATTCCATAATTTTGCATTTTTTTTATCAATTTACTTCTATCTAGAGTTTCAAACGCGCGCTGTAAGTCCAAAAACACAGCTCCCACAGCATAGTCATCATCAAAAAGATTTTTCCAATCATACAGAATATTTTGTACTGCTGTCTCACAACTATGTCCCTTTCTAAACCCCAACTGACTTGGAATAAGGATGTTATTTGAATTAATATACTCCATCAATTGACTGTATACCACCCTCTCTAGAATCTTTTCAACTGTCGCCAGAAGATTTATTGGTCTAAAATCACCTGCGTATATAGAACCCCTGATTTTTTGAACTGGAATTATTGTTGATGTTTTTAACAGACATGGTAATT